TCAAATATGCATGCATATAAGCCATTTAACTCTATTCTTCCATTTCTTGATATTCATAGCTTCTTTTCTTCAACAACATGTCAATGAGTACAAAAAATGAGAGGAATTCAACTTCTATATGTCATATCTACATGAATTAGTGATGAATGCCATACCTAGTGTTGAATTTAAGTGTGGTCTTAGCTTGATTCTCTAATCTTCTAGCAATTCCCCTTCAAATTCTCCTTCCTCTCTCTAAAGTGTTGAGTTCAACTTCCCTCTCTCTCTCTCTCTCTCTCTCTCTCTCTCTCTCTCTCTCTCTCTCTCTCTCTTTCTCTAATCTCAGCCCAAGAGTGTATATAATGAGTTCCTAAGCTTAGATTGAGCCTTATATAAGATGTAATCAGCTTAGCCTAATCAAAGTTGATTAAGGTTAATTAACTAGGCTTAATTCTATTTAATCCAATCTGTTTATTCTAATTATTTTGATCCAAATCAAATCTCAATTGAAGCCACCATAAAATTCTAAATATTCCAAATAGCCTATTGGGCTAGTCAATTTCAGTTTCTGAAGTCGTTTAGGCTCTCAATTTGCTGACTCTAAGTTGTCAATTTAAACAGATATTCCATATGTCAACAGATAATTATAGAATTAAACATGTAATCACACAATCAAGCACATAATCATGCAATTAAACTCATTAAAACTATATAATGTACTAATTTGGAGGTCAAGGTCGTCACAATGAATGGTATCAGAGCACGAGTTATGTCTCACTCACTTATCCATTGAGCTATAGAGAGTCTAGAAGAAACTTCAGGAATGCATTCATGTGCATTTGATATGCTGAGTAAGATAACCTTGTGATGATATATGAAATTGCGTACATGGCTATGTATATATATATATATATATATTGTGTTTGTTATAATACAAAATTTCATATAGAAAATGGTGAGAAGCAGAGGTGATGAAATAGAAGAGGTAACCTCCTAAAGACTAGATAGAATGGAACGAATGATGCAAGACATGGCTGAAGCCATAAGACAACAACAGTAATGGCAGCAACAACAACAACAACCACCTCCCTCACCTCAAATGCCTGTACCACCTCCAGCTCCAGGATGTTAGCCAAAGACCTGCACTGTTGCCTTGACTAGAGAATTTAAGAAGATGAAGCCACCAGTGTTTCATGGTGGAATTGAACCATTGAAGGCCGAAGCCTGGGTATTGGAATTGAGAAATTGTTTGAAGTGTTTCCATGTACTGAAGCCCAGAAGGTGCAACTAGCTACATTCACATTGGAAGACAATGCAAGGCGTTGGTGGATGTTGGTTCGAAATGATAATAAGGATGTTACTTGGACCCGTTTTCTGGAAATCTTCTATGAAAAATATTTTCCACAATGTGTGCGGAATAGAAAAGTGGCTGAATTTATGGAACTGAAGTAGGGAAACAAATCAATTGCTGAGTATGAGGCTCAATTCACAGATTAGCCCGTTTCACGCCCTATATGGTGGACACAGATTACAAGAAGGCTAGACAATTTGAGGGATGTTTGCGTGATCCAATTTTAGATAAAATCAATGTGCTCAAATTGCCAACATATGTGGATGTACTTGATAGGGCACTAATAGCGGAAAGGAATGTGACCAATCGTAAACAGAATTTTGAATAGAAGGGTGGGAGACCGAATTTTAATAAAGGGACACCATCAACCAATAAGAAGATGAAGTCTGGGAATTCCAGCAATTCGGGGTCAACCCAAAATGGCTGCTCAACACCTGCTTGTACCATTTGCGGGAAGAAACACCGGGGTGTTTGCCATCGCACTACGGGGGCTTGCTACCAGTGTGGAAAGATGGGGCATATGGCGAAAGATTGCATACAGTCACGTCAGAATAGTAATCTAGGCGCCACGAGCTCAATAGGGTCAGTTCTTACAACAAGACCAGCTACAGTACCGTTTGCCACAAGAAATGATCAAAGGCAAGGAAGGGTTTTTGCATTGATTCCAGGGGATACACAAAATATTGAGGCCATAGTGTCAGGTACAATATCCATTTGTGGTAAACCTGCTTACGCTTTAATTGATTCCGGGTCTACGCACTCATTTATTTCTATGGTCTTTGCTGGAACTTTGAATAGACCTATGGAAACATTGAATTATATACTATGTGTTGCATCACCTACGGGGGGATCCATGTTATGTTCAACTGTGTTTATTGCATGTGAATTATTTCTCGGGAATGCTACTTTGTATGTTGATTTAATACCTTTAGACATGGGACATTTTGATGCTATTTTGGGTATGGATTGGCTAACTAAATACTATGCAACTATTGATTGTGCCTCAAAACGAGTAATATTTTGACCTCCCAGGCAAAATGAATTTTATTTTGAGGGAAAAGGGGTAGTCTCACCACCATACCTTATATCTGCCATGAAAGCCCGAAAACTAATAAATAAAGGTTGTCAAGGGTATTTGTGTAGTGTAATAATTGAACCAGCGGTAGACATTACTCTAGACAGTATACCAGTGGTGATAGATTTTCCAGATGTGTTTCCGAATGAACTATCTGGCCAACTTGTTGATAGAGAAATTGAATTCATAATTGATGTAATACCGGGAACTCGACTAATTTCTAAAACTCCCTACCGTATGTCTACTACTGAAATGAAAGAATTGAAAATTCAGTTGCAGGAATTGCTTGATAAGGGGTTTATTAGACCAAGTACATCCTCATAGGGCGCACAGGTACTTTTTGTTAAAAAGAAAGACGACACTCTCCGATTATGCATTGATTACCAAGAACTCAAAAAGGTAACAGTGACAAATAAATAACCTTTGCCGCGTATTGATGATCTGTTTGACCAGTTACAGGGGGCACATATATTTTCGAAGATTGATTTGAGATCAGGATATCATCAATCAAAGGTTAAGGCTAAGGATGTTGAAAAGACTGCTTTCCGAACCAAGTATGGGCATTATGAGTTTTTAGTCATGCCATTTGGGGTTACAAATGTGCCTGCAGCATTTATGGATTTAATGAATAGAATTTTCAAACCTTTCCTAGATGACTTTGTTGTTGTATTCATTGATGACATCTTGATCTATTCGAAAAGTAAAATGGAGCATGAACAACATTTGAAACTGACTCTTCAAACTCTCAGAGAAAAACAATTGTACGGGAAATTCAAAAAGTGTGAATTCTGTCTTGTTGAAATTGCATTTTTGGGGCACATTATTAATAAGGATGGTATATCTGTGGATCCTCATAAAATTGAAACTATTATTAACTGGCCTATCCCAACTAATGTATTAGAAGTTCGTAGTTTTATGGGATTAGCAGGGTATTACCGAAGATTCGTCAGGAACTTTTCCAAAATTGCTATGCCATTGACTCAGTTGACTCGAAAAGGGGATCAGAGAGAAACAACCTTTCAAGAGTTAAAGACAAGACTGACTACAGCCCCAATCCTCACTATTCCCTCAGGTACCGAAAATTTTGTGATTTTTAGTGATGCATCCTATAAGGGCTTGGGTTGTGTTTTAATGCAGAATGACAAGGTTATTACGTATGCCTCTCGATAGTTGAGACCACACGAGAAGAATTACCCTACACATGACTTGGAACTTGCTGCAGTTGTGTTTGCATTAAAGATATGGCGACACTATTTGTATGGAGTCAAATGTGAAGTATATACAGATCATAAGAGTTTGAAATACTTTTTCACAAAGAAGGAGTTGAACATGCGTCAAAGGCGGTGGCTTGAATTAATCAAAGATTGTGACTTACAGATTCACTACCATCCGGGCAAAGCTAATACTGTAGCAGATGCCCTTAGTAGAAAGAATGTGGGGAATCTTGCCTGTTTACTCACAGATCAAAGGGAGCTACTGCTGGAGTTTGAAAAACTCAAAATTGAAGTAGTGCCTTTTGAACAAAAAGGCTTGATAGCCGCAATGTTTTCCCAACCTGCCATTATTGAAGAAATTAAACAGAAACAGTTGGATGATGAGTTCTTGAAGAAGATTAGTGATGAACTTGACACCAAGCCTAAACCGGGGTTCATAAATGAAGACTCCGTATTGAAATATCAGGAGAGATTGTGTGTCCCGAATGATACGGATTTGAAAAGGAAAATTTGGAGGAAGCTCACAAGTGAATGTTTGTTATGCATCCAGGAAACATCAAAATGTACCAAGACTTGAAATTAGTGTATTGGTGGCCCAACATGAAAAGCGAAATTGCTGACTTTAACTCTAAATGTTTACAATGCCAACAGGTAAAAGCAGAACATCAGAAACCAGCAGGTCTGCTTCAGTCTCTTCCTATTCTGGAATGGAAATGGGAACATATCACCGTGGACTTCTTTGTTGGCCTACCTCGGACACCTAGAGGTATGAACTCTATTTGGGTTATAGTTGATCGATTGACTAAATCTGCTCACTTTCTTGCTGTAAAGACTTCATTTGCTGCTTATAGACTTGCTACTATCTACATTGATGAGATTATTCGATTGTATGGGGTTCCAGTGTCTATTGTATCAGAATGGGATCCTAAATTTGTTTCTAGATCTTGGCATAGTTTGCAGGAGGCAATGGGAACAGAATTGAGATTTAGTACAACATTTCACCCACAAATCGATGGGCAAACCGAGAGAACTATTCAAACCTTAGAAGACATGCTTCGTATGTGTGTATTGGATTTTCAGGGAAGCTAGGAAACTTATTTTCCATTGGCCAAATTTGCTTTTAATAATAGTTTTCACGCGAGTATCGGTATGGCACCATATGAGGCACTATATGGCAGAAAGTGTAGATCGCCAGTTTGTTGGACAGAAGTTGGTGATAGAGCCATTTATGGGACTGAACTTGTGCAAGAAACGACTGAGAAGATCAAAATCATTCAACAAAGTCAAAACTGCACAGAGTCGACAGAAAAGTTATGCAGATCAGTGAAGAAGGGACTTAGAGTACGAAGTGGGAGATCTTGTATTCATCAAGGTGACCCCAATGAAGAGGCACATGAGATTTGGAAAAAAACGAAAACTGACTCCTCGCTACATTGGACCGTTTCAGATCCTTGAGAGGTTGGGTCCTGTTGCCTATCGGGTTACCTTGCCACTGGGAATGGAACAAGTGCACAGCGTTTTCTATGTATCCATGCTTCGTGGGTATCTTAGAGATCCGTTCCATGTGATTGATTACCACTGGATTGCTCTAGACGATGATATGATATATAAAGAATGGCCCGTGCAAATAATTGATCGGCAAGTGAAGCAATTGAGAAACAAAACTATCCCTATGGTGAAGGTCAAGTGGAGAGAACACTATGGGAAGGAGGCCACTTGGGAGAAAAAGGAAGAGAGGCGGCAACGATATCCGCATTTATTTCCATATGAAGGTAACTTAAGTTTAGAGGACCAAACCTTCTACGGGGTAGAGATTGTGATGACCCTGACCTCCAAACTAGTACATTATATAGTTTTAATGAGTTTAATTGCATGATTATGTGCTTGATTGTGTGATTACATGTTTAATTCTATAATTATCTGTTGACATATGGAATATCTGTTTAAGTTAACAACTTAGAGTCGGCAAATTGGGAGCCTAAACGGCTTCAGAAACTGAAATTGACTAGCCTAATAAGCTATTTGGAATATTTAGAATTTTATGGTGGCTTCAATTGAGATTTGATTTGGATCAAAATAATTAGAATAAACTGATTAGATTAAATAGAATTAAGCCTAGTTAATTAACCTTAATCAACTTTGATTAGGCTAAGCTGATTACCACTTATATAAGACTCAATCTAAGCTTAGGAACTCATTATATACACTCTAGGGCTGAGATTAGAGAGAGAGAGAGAAGTTGAACTCAACACTTTAGAGAGAGGAAGGAGAATTTGAAAGGGAATTGCTAGAGAATTGGAGAATCAAGCTAAGACCACACTTAAATTCAACACTAGGTATGGCATTCATCACTAATTCGTGTAGATATGACATATAGAAGTTGAATTCCTCTCATTTTTGTACTCATTGACCTGTTGTTGAAGAAAAGAAGCTATGAATATCAAGAAATGGAAGAATAGAGTTGAATGGCTTGCATGCATGCATATTTGAGTTTGAATTTCATGGAATTCATTCATCCATGGCACAATTATACATCATTTTGGAGAATCCATCATGTTTTCATGCCTCTCATGCCACTTGATCACATTTTGAACATGTTTTGGAGAAATATACATTCAAATTGAGTTAAACTTATTTTATAAATCGAGATTGGAGTCATTAGTTGAGAAATTACCATGAATTTGAATAAATGGGTTCAAATTAGAAGTGTTTTCATGTTATATAATGACTCTCCATGTTTTTATACCAAAAACACTAAATTTGAAGCTTTGAAAACCATGTTTGAACTTTAAACGCAGTTCTGGAAATTCAAGAATTTGTGCTGTCCGCTCGAGCGAGGGAAGCCACGCTCGAGCGTGGAATTCGAGCTCCCAGAAGTTTCTGAAATTTTACAGTCTATTCGAGTGACAAAAGTGGCGCTCGAGCGAGGACCTTTTTCTCCAGTATCCCGCTCGAGCGACCATCGAGCGGGAATTTCATGTATCCAGTACTTTTACAGACTGCTCGAGTGACAGAAGTTACGCTCGAGCGACCACCTTTGTTTTTGGACCCTCGCCCGAGCGTAGGAAGTTGTGCTCGAGCGGAGACCCTATTTTCAACAAAATTTTACCAACTCTTTTAAGTGCATATTTGCATCCTCATGCCACTCCTAGCATCCTTAGGCACCTTTTTGGACTCATATAATCATACAATAAGTTAGACATGCACAAAGAGAATGGAATTGAAATGAAATGGAATTTCGTTTATACTTTGTTATGTATTTCGTTTAGGTGGATGCCCGAGGCTTAGCGTCACCACAAACCACTGTGAGTAATAGCTTTATAAAGATATGTTCAAGTTATTCCTATTTCTGAAAATGCTATTGCTATCGAAATTCATATATAATTGGTTAAATGTTTTATTGAAACTTTATGACGATTGATGGAATGGTTTACTGAAACGTTATTCCTCATATGAATGAAGTTCTATTTTGAAACTATACTTGTGGCATCCTCTAATAGGCCCTTGCCCGAGGGAAATTAATACCGTGGCTTATTGCTTGATAGGCCCTTGCCTGTGGGAAATTAATACCGTTGCCCATTGCTTAAGAGGCCCTTGCCTGGGGGAAATTAATACCGTGGCTCATTGCTTGATAGGCCCTTGCCCGGGGGAAATTAATGTCGTGGCCTATTGTTTAATAGGCCCTTGCCTAGGGAAAACAATACCATGGCCCATTGATAAAGAGGCCCTTGCTTAGGGGAAATTAATACCATGGCCCATTGGCCCTCGCCCAAGGGAAACAATATCGTGGCCCATTGGATAACTGAAACACATAGATCTCTGCTATTAGACCTTAATGGTCACATTGGATATGATATATATTGCTCGACCACTGTGGTCCCATTGATTGACCCTCGAGGTCCCATTGTTATTGATACATTGTTACCCTATTGGATGTACCACTTGAATTGTCACTGAATGAGAAATTGTTATTGGAACAACACGGATCATTGTGAATTAATGATAATTGTAATGATATGGAACTTCATTTATATAACCTCTTTATTTTGTTATTACTCATTAGGCTCTAGCTCACTATTTATTTATATATATAATTGTAGGTGGGCAAACTGAACATCAAAGTTAGATAGCCTCGAGTTTACCCGGGTCAGCCTTTTGTGGAGCTTCCAAGTGAAGTAATTAGGATGGTTTGAGTGATACTTGTCAAACCCCTTTTGTGTGGTTTAATGGTTTTGTATTTGTACATAGTTGGGGTTGTAATTTTGTAAGACATGAAATTGTACTTATGTTAGATGTATCTTTGAATCAAACTTCGCTTAACATAATTGCTCTCCTCATATATTGTCATGACTCAATCTCGGCAAGGCAACCCCCACCAAGAGGGTGCACTCCAATGCTATAACACATGTACACAATAATCACCTGTATAATTCTTATATCACATCACCAATAGTGCATAAGACTCTTCGATTAGCCAACATATATGAGATGATCCATTCAAAGACAAAATATCATCATGCTACTAAGATAGTTCCCATGCACCACTATCCCCCAAAATAAATCATACTATTCGTGAATCCATCAATACATCCAACTTTACAAGCAAATATTTAAAATCAACCTACTTCATAAAACAAAGGATAAAAGTACATCCTAGAGTGGCCCTAAGCAAAACCTCAACTACCAGATGTTCACATTTGATCCTCTAGAAACTCTAATCTTCCAAATTGAGGCGAGCCATACAAAAGTCTAGGAATCTGAAAAAAATTAATTAAAAAAAATGAGCTACAGCCCAATGAGTATACCAATCCCATGGAGTTTTAAAGCTTGCTCCTTCCAATTAGGTTCAAAATAAGATAATAAACACAAGAGCTTAATTGGACTGAAATTTATAAAAATTGAGAAAATTTTGCATAATCGTTATCAAGATTTTTCCAAAGAATCTCATAATGCAGGAAAAATACATTTAAATAAGGAAGGTAAACAAAAATACAACTTTTTAATACCTTAAGATTTCATGTCCATCATACGAACCACTACATAGCCTTAGGGTCGCGTTACCTCGCGACTTAGGTGGCGGCGGTACCATTACCCAAAACATAACCATAGGAACATAACTCATGTCATCGTAGTACTTCAATTCTCATTTCAATGTTTCGGTCTCTAGGACCCCTTATGTACATCGACCCTTATGGTCCTTAAAACATTTCGGTCCCCAGGACCCCAAAGCATTTCGGCCTTTGTGGCCCCAAAGGCTATATTCGGTTATATGATCAATAAAAATAAATACTCTCGCATGACGTTTCATTGTCATTTAATCATCATGATCATAAACTTTGAAGGACTCAAATAAATTCTCATAAAAAAATTAGGGCTCCATTATACAAATGAAATCATATATTTATTTAAGCTCAACATTTGACCTCAATAAATTTATAGATTTTCTGCTTATACATATATCATGATGAAATGTGTTACTTCCTTTAATTCAAAAAAAAATATTTTCAAACTTTGTATTAAAGATAGAGATAAGGTAAATTTTCATGATAAGTATACTCACCTCCAAAAATAGCAAAAGCGTATATTTGAAACTCTACGAATTAATTCCCAAGAGGTGTAGAGACGCCTTCCTCCAATCCTAACAATTAGTAAATAGGATCTAAAATTAAGAAAAACTTTCAATGAAAATTACAACATCTACAAAATTGATCCTAAATAAGACATGCTATGGAATGACAAGCTAAAGAACTCCTCCAACTTCAAGTCACCCAAACAAACTTCTTATCCAATCTCCACAACACCCATCCTTTGTACATTTTTGAGCTATTAACCTTTTTAAATATCCAACAAATTTATATGCACAATACCACCATCAATTAAACCACAAAAGTCAAAAATCAACATTTTCATAAACTCAACAATTTAGGTAAAATCACTTCAATCATTAATAAAATTCCTCCAAAATCGTTTATAGAACATAGAGATACCCAATCCACCATTTATCAAATCAATTTCAACATGTAAATTTCCTAACACCAAAATTCCCAAATTTTACATTACATTCAAACCTAGATTAACCCAAATCTCAATCTCCAAAACAACCATCAAATTGATATTCATTTCATTTCAATTCAACTCTCTTGATGTGTTTCTAGTTTATTTCATGACTATGTGAGTCCAATTGGTGCCTAAGAATACTTAGAATGTCTTGAGGATGCAATTATGCATTTAAAAGAGTTAGTCAAAAATTGCTGAAAATAGGGTCCTCGCTCGAGCGCCACTTTGGTCGCTCGAGCGGACTGTAAAATTTTGAAAAACTTCTGGGAGTTTGATTTCACCCTCGAGCGAGACTTTCCTCGCTCGAGCGGACAGTGTGAATTTTGAAATTTCCAGAATTGTGCTTGAAGTTCAAATTTGATATTCAAAGCCTCAAAGCTTGTATTTTTGGTACAAAAATATGGAGAACCATTGTATAATTTAGTAAACACTCTTAATTAGAAATCATTTATTCAAAATCATGCTCCAATTGTCCAAATTTAGATTTAACTAATTTTCTTTATATCAAACCCACAATTTTAAAATATGAATTAAACTTTCCAAACCCTTGAAAATTTCATGATGTATGTAAAAATAGAACCCAAATTCATTATTAATAGCAAAAATCAAACTTAACTATGAATTACACAAATCAATTCAACTTAACTCAATTTTTTAATCAAAACTTAATTGATGATCATAGATGTTTCAAAATGTGTTTAAATTGAATAAAACTTTTAAATTCAATTACATGCATGGATTAAACAAATTTCTAGTTTTCATAATAAAACTAAAGCTTCCTTTAATTCCAAAATCAACTCTCAAATTTCATGAACTCAT